CAGCCCTAAACTTTGTCCAAACCCTGCAATAATCGTAAACACTAAACAAGGGTAGACATATTTCTAGTTTAACTGCCTGAAGATTTTCTCTATGGTTTATACGTAACTCTCCACCTATTATCTCATTTTTGTACATGTTCTGGGAGAACTCAACTTGCTCCCTATAAAATGCAACGTCTTCCTGCACAGGTGGTTCTGGTTAAGTGCCAGCCTGCTTCGGGTTTGTAATTAGTTGTTGCAATTTTCTGATTTCGTCGTCCTTTTTCATAATCCAGATTTCGTTTTGGCATTCCAGTTCAGCCATTTGATCCTGAAGCTCTTTTATAGTAGAATCATTATGGCATCGTATATCTGAGATTTTAAATGAGTGGTTGACCTCACGTTGGTTACTCTCGTCCATCAGACTCTTTACGTCATTTCTCAGTTTAGATTCAAGTTCTTTTAGGAAGCCAATTTCATCTTGCAGTTCAGCAATGTGTGACATCGTTACATCAGTTTGTGCAGCAGCACTTAAAGAATGTTGCATATCTTCGTACTCAGCGTCAAGCATAGCTTCTAAGTCTGCAACCTTCTTTTTTGACTCAATATTTTGAGCTTCAAGAGATGGTTTAGGGCTCTCTGATCTTCCTAGGTTCTTCAGTTGAGTACGCAGCATCTCTATTTCTGACTCGTATGTTTTTAGTCTTTTTATTATTTTTTTCCAGAAAATCGAGTCTGTATTGCAAGTCGATGAAATTCTTGCGCTTTTTGAGAATTTTTTTGAACTCTTTCTATTTCTTCGTTGTACGCATCCGTTACTTGGCGGAGTTCCTGACTGTAACGATCGAATTTAGAATTGGCTTCTGTGAGCTGTTTCTTCAGGTCCAAAATCTCCAGCTGATTATCTAGTTTAGTGAATTCTCTAAGCTCATTGAAAGATTCTTCCAGTTCTTTGAGTTGTCTTTTAAGTACACTTGCACGTCTTCAGCTATCACAGATTCTGCTTCGGCTAGTGCCTCCTCATATGTCTCTTCTTGAATAGGCCTCATTTCACGTCCGGATGATTCTTCTTTGGGTGGATAATTTTTCAATGGCATATACCCTAGGGATGCTTTTTTAGGTGATACGTTGCCATAGTGTCCAAAAGTATGACGTCTTAATGTTTTTTTCGGTGTTGATGCCGAGGCTCCCATTTGAAAGCGCCCGACAATAGATACTTCCGTTTTTAGTCTTTCTATCTCGAGCAGATACTCTTGTTTGCTTTTATCCATCTCTTTTAGCTTAATTGCCTGCTTTTTGAGCCGAGTTTCGAGATCGCGAGTCAAGTTCTGATATCCTTGAAGTGTCTCTTCTGTAGCTGACAAGATGTTTACTTTCGTTTTATTTTTGACAGTTTTAGTGCTTTGGGCGAATTCTGGTGTAGATCTAGTCTCCTCCTCTGCAGCTAAAGTAACATTCCCGATAATCAATGATTTGGCATTACCGCCAAGAGCCTGTGAGAGCAGTCTAGTCAATTTCGAATCGCGATAACTGATAAACTCCTTCCCCTCGCTTAGTTGCCTTATCACATTTCCTAATACTGACAAAGATTTGTTTATGTTAGCCCCCTCTTTAAGACGCTCACCAGCAGCTTTCGTCAGAGAAACTCTCTCAGAACCAGCTAAGTCCATTAAGTTAAGGTAGCTTATATGTACAGGTCCATCTTTCTGATTGGCATCTTTCGACTCCAGAATAATCCGGAAAATCGTGTGTGATCGAGATGACCTCTCATTCATGCGAGTAGCTGCAACTCGTCTGATCTTATTGCCCTGCATCATGTTCTCCATAACTTTATCAACATTGTCTACGACAGCTTCCCTTGCATCAAGCAGCACATTTCCTTTGATATCTTCTCATAGTTAAACCCTGATTGCTCTTATCCAGGAGGTCATTGATCTTTTCATTGTAGATTTCAATATAACTGCATCTAATCAAGTACCTCTTATCAACCTGGTCTGCCACATGCTGGAATAACTGATTGGATACTAATTGGAAAAGCCCAGGATCTGTTTTATTGCCCAAAATGGTGTGTGTTTTGCCAGAAGATGTTTGGCCATATGCAAATATTGTGGCATTGAAACCTTCCATGAAGGAATCGACTAAAGGTTTTACTACAGATCCATATACATCTGAATTTGTACATTCCTGCTTAAATACATGGTCGAATATATAAACCTCTCCATGGCGACTACTTTCATCGGCTTCCCATATGCAGTTTACTCTTACGTTCCAAAGACGCTCTAGACCATCGGCTACTTCGCGGTGGATCATTGGTCTGATCTTTGTGGCTACTTTAATATTGTTGGAAGTCATTTTGGAAGCTTGAACTGAAATTTAATTAGAACTAGGGCTATTTCACGGGTTATAAAGAGGGGCAGATGTATCAGGTTGATACATTCTTTTTTTCCTCCTTTCCAGTATAGAAGATTTTTTTCTCTTGTAGGCTATGAATGCGGTCCGATAGTTTAGTAGAGCTACATTTACAGGGTGACTCAAAATCAAAGAAGAAACAGAATTGTTAAATTTCATATAGACTGTTATTGTTATTACAAAAAGAAGTTGAAGCAGCAGCAAATTCTCACAAATCTATAGATCCATCACTTTCAGCACCCGATTTTTCAACTTGAAAAATGCAGCTCGGTGAAGAATCACAAGGTAACTGTTGTCTATTCAGACAATACTCTTCTAAAAGCAACGCGAAGTTACCTAGTGCCTTACATGAATCGCCTTCATAATTCTTCATTATTGTCAATGGAAAACTGAAATTGTTGATTATTACAGTTTTTATGCTTCAAATAAACAGATGGTGTTCGTGTTGGAAATCCCACGTCTAATCTCGCAAAACAGGTTATCCACCGGATCTTACTATCAACATCTGAAATGCCATTACTGTTTTTAGCCATGTGTACAACAGGTTTGTACGCATAAGACACTCTTACATGAAAACTGTTTATTGTCTAAAAACGAAAATACCCCATTGAAGATGAGTAATGCAATAAATATAATCCTCGAAACTTGAACTGTAATATGAACATAAAAAAACTAACAAAATGGGCCATTTAACAACATATTTGGTGTTGATATTCTACAACAAAAACAAATACTTTCTCGTATAAGGAAACATACAATAATTAACATTTATCACTTTTCACGAAACAATGTAAGTGCGCTGTGACTTTACATACTTATTACAGATTGTAGAACATTTTTTTCATTGTGTATTGTCATGTAACACCTACGTCGTTTTTTTTCTTTAACAACTGCATCAGGATCGAGAACTCTGGGCTGAGAAGTAGACGGCTTACTTTATTCGTCGTTGGTAATTTAGGATTCTTTGCATGGCTGAACGAAGCTCCCTAGGAAGTCTTGGATCTGATAAACGTCCTCTCATACGAAGTTAAATTAGAGTTTGCCTCAGGGGAACAATAAAATTTCGTCGCCTAATGGAACTTTCAGTCCCAGACTGAAAAAAAAAGGAATTTACAGAAGCTGGTTGGATACCAAATAGCACAAGGCCATCTTCTCGTTCTCTAACCAGTATTGTAATTTACACACTTCCGATCTAATGCATTACCCCCCGCCTTCATAGTGTTATAAAAATAATATAGGATCTTATCAGGTTTTTTGATTCCTCTACTATTTTGTTATCATGCTGCATAGATTGCTATACGAGAACATGTGTATTTGGTTTTGGAAGATACTACTCTAAGGCTGTACAACATAAACTTAGAAGTACCTGGCTGTGTTTCCTTCTTATTTGGAACTACATGTTGGGGTACTTGTTACTTATTTTTACGCTTCCTGCCGACATAGGTCAGTTGGTTGATGCGCAATTCTACATGTAATTCTACTGACGTGAACCAGTCATCTGCTGTGATATTTCTGTTCGTATAGACGAAAGCATTGAGCAGGTAGTGGTGAGTCTTTGCATCATCAGTCCATACTTATTCGGTTTAGTTTTCTTGTAGGCACAGGAAGGACATCGGCCCACGAGCATCTCGTATTTTGTAGGGGACTCACCCGAAATATAACAATTTCGACAGTTCTCTATGAGTGTCTCGAAAATTTCACGTATTTGGAGAAATTTATCGGCATTTCTCGAGTCACAGGGTTATTATTTTCCAAATTGGTTGCCACGGACTTTAGTTCAGGTAAATGCGTAATAATCGACCAGTTGCAGGCGCTCGTTTTGACCAATTGTACATGTTTTTTCCATAGGCATAGCGAGGTCGCCCATAGGAAGTTGTTCAGGTTGATCGATAGCAGCGTCGTCCTCGGCGTAGTCTATAGTGTATTGTTCATCCGTCAACAACGAAAAAATCCATTGTGAAGGAAGTTCAAATCGTACACGCAACTGACATCCTCGGATCAAATTTGACCGCAAAGTCAACAAACCAACAATTGTGATGTTTAAATTAAACTGTGGTTTGAGGTATACGTGCTCATACCGTATGAGAAGTCACGGGACCCCCACCACATAACTGAGAAAGCTCGAATCATCCGACGATATCATTAAAGGATTAATTTCTATATTCTTGAACGAATCTATAAAATCAAAGTGGCTGGGTTTCAATTTACATAGCTCTTTGTATGGTCTTGTTTGCTGATCAACATTATATGATTTCTAGACATGTTCAATCTGTGCAGCTTCTTCACTTTCATATTAATGTCAATAAGAGCATTTCATCCATTTTTGAATAAATGTGGTTCATCACAAATTGTAGAAATACTCTGAGCATTGACTATAAAATGGAATGGACTTGATCCGTGAGTATTCTCCGAGCAAATCGTCTCAAGTGCGTTTTTGATCGTTGCGCCCTGATTAGAAATAGTGCCAACAACGCACAAACCAAGTCGCTGCTAGTTTGTGATCACATGAACAATAATCGTTTTCAGATCTGGGATTCTTGTATCTTTTACTAGATAATAAGCCACAACCTGCTTATAATTTTTACGAATCCCTCTTATCATGGAAGTAAGGGCATGATTTCTGATAAATCACTTTTTCAGAGTTCTAGTTGATTTTGTTACCTCAGAATTCAAGATTTATTAGCTGAAAATTGTACACTGTGAGCACTGGGATCAGCCCTAAACTTTGTCCAAACCCTGCAATAATCGTAAACACTAAACAAGGGTAGACATATTTCTAGTTTAACTGCCTGAAGATTTTCTCTATGGTTTATACGTAACTCTCCACCTATTATCTCATTTTTGTACATGTTCTGGGAGAACTCAACTTGCTCCCTATAAAATGCAACGTCTTCCTGCACAGGTGGTTCTGGTTAAGTGCCAGCCTGCTTCGGGTTTGTAATTAGTTGTTGCAATTTTCTGATTTCGTCGTCCTTTTTCATAATCCAGATTTCGTTTTGGCATTCCAGTTCAGCCATTTGATCCTGAAGCTCTTTTATAGTAGAATCATTATGGCATCGTATATCTGAGATTTTAAATGAGTGGTTGACCTCACGTTGGTTACTCTCGTCCATCAGACTCTTTACGTCATTTCTCAGTTTAGATTCAAGTTCTTTTAGGAAGCCAATTTCATCTTGCAGTTCAGCAATGTGTGACATCGTTACATCAGTTTGTGCAGCAGCACTTAAAGAATGTTGCATATCTTCGTACTCAGCGTCAAGCATAGCTTCTAAGTCTGCAACCTTCTTTTTTGACTCAATATTTTGAGCTTCAAGAGATGGTTTAGGGCTCTCTGATCTTCCTAGGTTCTTCAGTTGAGTACGCAGCATCTCTATTTCTGACTCGTATGTTTTTAGTCTTTTTATTATTTTTTTCCAGAAAATCGAGTCTGTATTGCAAGTCGATGAAATTCTTGCGCTTTTTGAGAATTTTTTTGAACTCTTTCTATTTCTTCGTTGTACGCATCCGTTACTTGGCGGAGTTCCTGACTGTAACGATCGAATTTAGAATTGGCTTCTGTGAGCTGTTTCTTCAGGTCCAAAATCTCCAGCTGATTATCTAGTTTAGTGAATTCTCTAAGCTCATTGAAAGATTCTTCCAGTTCTTTGAGTTGTCTTTTAAGTACACTTGCACGTCTTCAGCTATCACAGATTCTGCTTCGGCTAGTGCCTCCTCATATGTCTCTTCTTGAATAGGCCTCATTTCACGTCCGGATGATTCTTCTTTGGGTGGATAATTTTTCAATGGCATATACCCTAGGGATGCTTTTTTAGGTGATACGTTGCCATAGTGTCCAAAAGTATGACGTCTTAATGTTTTTTTCGGTGTTGATGCCGAGGCTCCCATTTGAAAGCGCCCGACAATAGATACTTCCGTTTTTAGTCTTTCTATCTCGAGCAGATACTCTTGTTTGCTTTTATCCATCTCTTTTAGCTTAATTGCCTGCTTTTTGAGCCGAGTTTCGAGATCGCGAGTCAAGTTCTGATATCCTTGAAGTGTCTCTTCTGTAGCTGACAAGATGTTTACTTTCGTTTTATTTTTGACAGTTTTAGTGCTTTGGGCGAATTCTGGTGTAGATCTAGTCTCCTCCTCTGCAGCTAAAGTAACATTCCCGATAATCAATGATTTGGCATTACCGCCAAGAGCCTGTGAGAGCAGTCTAGTCAATTTCGAATCGCGATAACTGATAAACTCCTTCCCCTCGCTTAGTTGCCTTATCACATTTCCTAATACTGACAAAGATTTGTTTATGTTAGCCCCCTCTTTAAGACGCTCACCAGCAGCTTTCGTCAGAGAAACTCTCTCAGAACCAGCTAAGTCCATTAAGTTAAGGTAGCTTATATGTACAGGTCCATCTTTCTGATTGGCATCTTTCGACTCCAGAATAATCCGGAAAATCGTGTGTGATCGAGATGACCTCTCATTCATGCGAGTAGCTGCAACTCGTCTGATCTTATTGCCCTGCATCATGTTCTCCATAACTTTATCAACATTGTCTACGACAGCTTCCCTTGCATCAAGCAGCACATTTCCTTTGATATCTTCTTATAGTTAAACCCTGATTGCTCTTATCCAGGAGGTCATTGATCTTTTCATTGTAGATTTCAATATAACTGCATCTAATCAAGTACCTCTTATCAACCTGGTCTGCCACATGCTGGAATAACTGATTGGATACTAATTGGAAAAGCCCAGGATCTGTTTTATTGCCCAAAATGGTGTGTGTTTTGCCAGAAGATGTTTGGCCATATGCAAATATTGTGGCATTGAAACCTTCCATGAAGGAATCGACTAAAGGTTTTACTACAGATCCATATACATCTGAATTTGTACATTCCTGCTTAAATACATGGTCGAATATATAAACCTCTCCATGGCGACTACTTTCATCGGCTTCCCATATGCAGTTTACTCTTACGTTCCAAAGACGCTCTAGACCATCGGCTACTTCGCGGTGGATCATTGGTCTGATCTTTGTGGCTACTTTAATATTGTCGGAAGTCATTTTGGAAGCTTGAACTGAAATTTAATTAGAACTAGGGCTATTTCACGGGTTATAAAGAGGGGCAGATGTATCAGGTTGATACATTCTTTTTTTCCTCCTTTCCAGTATAGAAGATTTTTTTCTCTTGTAGGCTATGAATGCGGTCCGATAGTTTAGTAGAGCTACATTTACAGGGTGACTCAAAATCAAAGAAGAAACAGAATTGTTAAATTTCATATAGACTGTTATTGTTATTACAAAAGAAGTTGAAGCAGCAGCAAATTCTCACAAATCTATAGATCCATCACTTTCAGCACCCGATTTTTCAACTTGAAAAATGCAGCTCGGTGAAGAATCACAAGGTAACTGTTGTCTATTCAGACAATACTCTTCTAAAAGCAACGCGAAGTTACCTAGTGCCTTACATGAATCGCCTTCATAATTCTTCATTATTGTCAATGGAAAACTGAAATTGTTGATTATTACAGTTTTTAATGCTTCAAATAAACAGATGGTGTTCGTGTTGGAAATCCCACGTCTAATCTCGCAAAACAGGTTATCCACCGGATCTTACTATCAACATCTGAAATGCCATTACTGTTTTTAGCCATGTGTACAACAGGTTTGTACGCATAAGACACTCTTACATGAAAACTGTTTATTGTCTAAAAACGAAAATACCCCATTGAAGATGAGTAATGCAATAAATATAATCCTCGAAACTTGAACTGTAATATGAACATAAAAAAACTAACAAAATGGGCCATTTAACAACATATTTGGTGTTGATATTCTACAACAAAAACAAATACTTTCTCGTATAAGGAAACATACAATAATTAACATTTATCACTTTTCACGAAACAATGTAAGTGCGCTGTGACTTTACATACTTATTACAGATTGTAGAACATTTTTTTCATTGTGTATTGTCATGTAACACCTACGTCGTTTTTTTTCTTTAACAACTGCATCAGGATCGAGAACTCTGGGCTGAGAAGTAGACGGCTTACTTTATTCGTCGTTGGTAATTTAGGATTCTTTGCATGGCTGAACGAAGCTCCCTAGGAAGTCTTGGATCTGATAAACGTCCTCTCATACGAAGTTAAATTAGAGTTTGCCTCAGGGGAACAATAAAATTTCGTCGCCTAATGGAACTTTCAGTCCCAGACTGAAAAAAAAAGGAATTTACAGAAGCTGGTTGGATACCAAATAGCACAAGGCCATCTTCTCGTTCTCTAACCAGTATTGTAATTTACACACTTCCGATCTAATGCATTACCCCCCCGCCTTCATAGTGTTATAAAAAATATAGGATCTTATCAGGTTTCTTTGATTCCTCTACTATTTTGTTATCATGCTGCATAGATTGCTATACGAGAACATGTGTATTGGTTTTGGAAGATACTACTAAGGCTGTACAACATAAACTTAGAAGTACCTGGCTGTGTTTCCTTCTTATTTGGAACTACATGTTGGGGTACTTGTTACTTATTTTTACGCTTCCTGCCGACATAGGTCAGTTGGTTGATGCGCAATTCTACATGTAATTCTACTGACGTGAACCAGTCATCTGCTGTGAATTTCTGTTCGTATAGACGAAAGCATTGAGCAGGTAGTGGTGAGTCTTTGCATCATCAGTCCATACTTATTCGGTTTAGTTTTCTTGTAGGCACAGGAAGGACATCGGCCGGCCCACGAGCATCTCGTATTTTGTAGGGGACTCACCCGAAATATAACAATTTCGACAGTTCTCTATGAGTGTCTCGAAAATTTCACGTATTTGGAGAAATTTATCGGCATTTCTCGAGTCACAGGGTTATTATTTTCCAAATTGGTTGCCACGGACTTTAGTTCAGGTAAATGCGTAATAATCGACCAGTTGCAGGCGCTCGTTTTGACCAATTGTACATGTTTTTTCCATAGGCATAGCGAGGTCGCCCATAGGAAGTTGTTCAGGTTGATCGATAGCAGCGTCGTCCTCGGCGTAGTCTATAGTGTATTGTTCATCCGTCAACAACGAAAAAATCCATTGTGAAGGAAGTTCAAATCGTACACGCAACTGACATCCTCGGATCAAATTTGACCGCAAAGTCAACAAACCAACAATTGTGATGTTTAAATTAAACTGTGGTTTGAGGTATACGTGCTCATACCGTATGAGAAGTCACGGGACCCCCACCACATAACTGAGAAAGCTCGAATCATCCGACGATATCATTAAAGGATTAATTTCTATATTCTTGAACGAATCTATAAAATCAAGTGGCTGGGTTTCAATTTACATAGCTCTTTGTATGGTCTTGTTTGCTGATCAACATTATATGATTTCTAGACATGTTCAATCTGTGCAGCTTCTTCACTTTCATATTAATGTCAATAAGAGCATTTCATCCATTTTTGAATAAATGTGGTTCATCACAAATTGTAGAAATACTCTGAGCATTGACTATAAAATGGAATGGACTTGATCCGTGAGTATTCTCCGAGCAAATCGTCTCAAGTGCGTTTTTGATCGTTGCGGCCCTGATTAGAAATAGTGCCAACAACGCACAAACCAAGTCGCTGCTAGTTTGTGATCACATGAACAATAAATCGTTTTCAGATCTGGGATTCTTGTATCTTTACTAGATAATAAGCCACAACCTGCTTAATTTTTACGAATCCCTCTTCATGGAATAAGGGCATGATTTCTGATAAATCACTTTTCAGAGTTTCTAGTTGATTTGTTACCTCAGAATTCAAGATTTATTAGCTGAAAATTGTACACTGTGAGCACTGGGATCAGCCCTAAACTTTGTCCAAACCCTGCAATAATCGTAAAACACTAAACAAGGGTAGACATATTTCTAGTTTAACTGCCTGAAGATTTTTCTTATGGTTTATTACGTAACTCTCCACCTATTATCTCATTTTTGTACATGTTCTGGGAGAACTCAACTTGCTCCCTATAAAATGCAACGTCTTCCTGCACAGGTGGTTCTGGTTTAAGTGCCAGCCTGCTTCGGGTTTGTAAGTAGTGTTGCAATTTTTTCTCGATTCGTCCTTTTTCATAATCCAGATTTCGTTTTGGCATTCCAGTTCAGCCATTTGATCCTGAAGCTCTTTTATATAGAATCATTATGGCATCGTATATCTGAGATTTTAAATGAGTGGTTGACCTCACGTTGGTTACTCTCGTCCATCAGACCTCTTTACGGTCATATCTCAGTTTAGATTCAAGTTCTTTTAGGAAGCCAATTTCATCTTGCAGTTCAGCAATGTGTGACATCGTTACATCAGTTTGTGCAGCAGCACTTAAAGAATGTTGCATATCTTCGTACTCAGCGTCAAGCATAGCTTCTAGTCTGCAACCTTCTTTTTTGACTCAATATTTTGAGCTTCAAGAGATGGTTTAGGGCTCTCTGATCTTCCTAGGTTCTTCAGTTGAGTACGCAGCATCTCTATTTCTGACTCGTATGTTTTAGTCTTTTTTATTTTTTTTCCAGAAAATCGAGTCTTATTGCAAGTCGATGAAATTCTTGCGCTTTTTGAGAATTTTTTTGAACTCTTTCTATTCTTCGTTGTACGCATCCGTTACTTGGCGGAGTTCCTTGTAACGATCGAATTTAGAATTGGCTTCTGTGAGCTGTTTCTTCAGGTCCAAAATCTCCAGCTGATATCTAGTTTAGTGAATTCTCTAAGCTCATTGAAAGATTCTTCCAGTTCTTTGCGTTGTCTTTAAGTACACTGCACGTCTTCAGCTATCACAGATTCTGCTTCGGCTAGTGCCTCCTCATATGTCTCTTCTTGAATAGGCCTCATTTCACGTCCGGATGATTCTTCTTTGGGTGGATAATTTTTTCAATGGCATATACCCTAGGGATGCTTTTTTTAGGTGATACGTTGCCATAGTGTCCAAAAGTATGACGTCTTAATGTTTTTTTCGGTGTGGTGATGCCGAGGCTCCATTTGAAAGCGCCCGACAATAGATACTACTTCCGTTTTTAGTCTTTCTATCTCGGCAGATACTCTTTGTTGCTTTTATCCATCTCTTTTAGCTTAATTGCCTGCTTTTTGAGCCGAGTTTCGAGATCGCGAGTCAAGTTCTATATCCTTGAAGTGTCTCTTCTGTAGCGACAAGAGTTACTTTCGTTTTATTTTTGACAGTTTTAGTGCTTTGGGCGAATTCTGGTAGATCTAGTCTCCTCCTCTCAGCTAAAGTAACATTCCCGAATAATCAAGATTTGGCATTACCGCCAAGAGCCTGTGAGAGCAGTCTAGTCAATTTTCGAATCGCGATAACTGATAAACTCCTTCCCCTCGCTTAGTGTGCCTTATCACATTTCCTAATACGACAAAGATTTGTTTATGTTAGCCCCCTCTTTAAGACGCTCACCAGCAGCTTT